GATTTCCAGGCGCCAAGGTGAGTGCTAGTTTAGAAATCCAGACTTCTATGAAATTGCTAATGTAAGTTAATTGAAGCCATGGTAGTTTCAGTTCACTGTAAGGTTTTGTGAATGTGCACTAGTGTCGATGGTAACAGAGGTAGCTAGAGCAGATGCCAGAGGACCAAAGCCAGGCTATGGCAGGCTATAGCTAGACTAGACCAAGCTAGACCAAAAGCTGGACCAAAGCTCCGACTAAAGCTGGACTAGCTAGGACTAAAAGCTGGACCAGACTAGACCAAATCGAACTCAACTCCAACTTTCCAGGACTCTGTTCCGAAAGCATCGATGACTCTCTACGGGGCTCGCTGTGTGCATGCAAGGGGAGAGCTGCCGAGTTGTGCCTGTGAGATGGGATGCGATGAGGCAAAATTCGGTAACTCATTTTCCTAGTACAAATTTCTCCAAAACAAGTACCGTAATTGTGATTGATTGTAGAATTAAAGAATGAAAAAACCCTAGGTATTACGACGAATATGAGCGTTTGTGGGTCGGACGGCAAACGTATGAGGGACTGTGTCAGTTGCGGCCTTTCGCCCGCAAACAACCAGATCGATTTGGTGCCCGTGAGCCTGGGGATTTGCGATTCAGGTGGGGGAATTTCTATTAAAGTTCACAGGACTTTTTTTGGAAGCTGCAACCTGACTTCTTCCTCATTCAGAATTCTCCAAGTTCCCTCGTTGGATCGCTCGCGGCGTCAAAAGTCACCAATGCTTGAGAGACAGCCAGAAATCGTCACACTTGGATCTTTCTGTACATTCAAGGTTGTTACGTGAAAGTGTACTTTTGTAGCTACTCATTGTAGCTACTATTGTAGCGATTTTCCTTGAAACTCACAGTACAATTTTAACAGTTATTATGTACATATACCAAGACATCTTTCAGACCGAGTGTGCATCAATCTCGGCAGATTGTATGACTCGAGCCGGAAAGAAAGGACGATGTCAATGCGGGAATGGGACGATATGGAATGGGAAAACGTGTGTGGAAGAGACGATTGGTGGGGAAAAATTGACAGCAAATATCGAAAGCAGCACCGAGTTTGGCCAATGTACCTCAAATGCCAATCTTTGTACCAACTGAATATTCAAATGAAAACCGACTAATATCTTGCTAAAATCATAAATCATCAATTTCAGCTCTTCTCCCATTGAATCTCCAATTCGATGGAAAGCAAACGGCCAAATTGAAGAGTAGAGTCGACGAATTGCCGATACCTCAACTTCACCATACAGGTGAATCGAAAAGATTGCATTGTTACAGCTGAATTGGGTCCAAACACCTGTAAGGGTGCCAGGATTGGGCAAGCCTGAACCTGGCCCGGCTTGCTCTACAACCTTGGCTCTTAACTTTGGAAGGTTATATAAAAAAGTTGAAAGCTTGAATTGAATAGACAATTGGTAACGTGATAGGAGATATCCTTAAGATTTACCTCCCAGAAAACCAGAACGCGATTGACCCAACTTGGTCAATGCTAGAACGACTCGGTCAATCTAGGCCTCTGAAGTCAATCAGGCCTCTGAAGTCAATCTAGGCCTCTGAAGTCAATCTAGGCCTTCCGAAGTCAATCTAGGCCTCTGAAATCAATCTAGGCCCTCTGAAGTCAATCTAGGCCTCTGAAGTCAATCTAGGCCTCTGAAGTCAATCTAGGCACTATAATTGTGGGCCACCCTGTCTATTGAACCCAAGAAAAGCAAACAATCGGGATAATCTATGAATAATAATTCATAGCTGAAGAAACAATGAAGTCTAAAACTATATAGTTTTCTCTGTAACGAGTTTCTTAGGTCTCAGCGGCCGCCTCAAACGGAGCCTCTTGGATGTGTTGATGGTGAATGGAGAGCGATTACAAATGCGAATCGATCAACGGAGGATCTTGTTACAGTAAGTTTTATTTACATAGACATTATGCAAATGTGAAAATCTACCATTTCCCGCTATCCAAGCATGAAAACGAGAATCAAAATGAGCGTGACGCAAAAAAATGTGGCGAACGCGACGAGTGCCACCATGAAAACAGAGACATGGTGACCTGAAAAATGAAAAGCAGTAAAAATTAAAAAAGTTTTAAAAATTTGGTCAACTTTCCGTCAAAAATACGATAGTTTTTTTGAAAGTTAACACAATAAAAAAGGGCTTAATATACTACACAAGCAATCGTTGAGCTTTTTAAGCTTTGGTTATATAATAAATATTATACATCAAAATATTTCCATATTTCTCGTATAATTTATAGTTTTCCCCCACCAAACGACTCGGCTTGTTCAGGGTCCATAACAGCAAGGCAATCCACGTGCACTGGACTGGACGGTATCTTCCCTAGAAAAAAAATATATATAATAGAAATTCTAATTCGAAACCTATCGAAACCTAGCCTGTTTAAAAACCCCCCACTTCATCATAGGCATAGGAGTTTTCGGTGAAGAGCGAGCGCCTATGAAGAGTGCGACTTTTCGGTCTCTTGTCTAAAAGATTTTCGTTGAAAAATAACAAAACTCTTCACAACCTTATTGTTTAAGCTAAATGAAAAGACTCTTAAAGAAACGCAATCTAAAAGTTTTCTTTTAACAACCCCTTCCATCTAAACGATCGTTTACAAAAAAAAATCGATAAATTATTACCTGGATAAACCCAAGATAAAGATCGGTAAAGGAAAAAATTAATTATCAAATCAGTAGAATTAATCAATAGCTGAGCTTTTTTCTTGAATTAAAAGTTTATCTTTACAATTTCGCCTCCATCGCAGGAGTGACGTCATTGAAATCGAAAGGGGGAAAACAGTGAGAATGTTATAAAATTTGAAAAAATATAAAACTCGAGTTTATAATAGACAAAGTCTTTTCAAAAACTTAGTTGACAATGAATAACAATTATCTGGGGGAGTGGGACAAATGTCCGGGTGCGCAAAAAAAAGGTCGCATTTGTCCCACCCCGAAATTATACTTTAAAAGTTGATTAAAAAAACTTAGTTGACAATAAATAACAATTATCTGTAATCTAGTAATGATTCATTTCCTAAAAAGCACTAAATTTCCTTTCTAGGGTTCAATCCGAGATGATCAAAATGCGAAATCCGATCGAGTTGCACTCAAATGTGAGCGCGAAATTTTGTGGCTATCAGCCGGGAAAACGGTGCAACTTCAAGTAAACCAGGTACAGAATGGAAAGTTTTCGAAAAAGGCCTTGTTTCGAGTGTAGTTTCGGAAGAAAAGTAGAATAGATAGCAGTAGCTTGGATTTTTTTTTACGACTTTTTATACTTTAAAATTTCTAGGAAACGATTTCAACTCGTTTCGACGAGACACAGCAATTGACCGGGAAGATCAAAGGGATCATGTGCTGGGTGGAGCCCTGTGAGTCATCTGGTAGAAGAAAAGAACGGGCTTTTAAAGCTTTATAGATCTTGATATATGATAGATCTTGATACATAAAATTCATTGTAGACTTTTATACAGTTTGTTTGTTAGATCGGAATCACGTTCATTTATTGGCTGCATTCGTGGGGTCAGTTTGGCTGGGAAACCGTTGAAACGAGAGGATATCGATGGAAATGAAAGTGGGATTTATGAAAGGAATTTTGTGCAAGAACTTTAGATTCTTTAGATCTCTGCGATTGTGAGACTGGTTGTGGGATAGTTGAGAAAGGTGAGGATTGAATGGAAATTCGTGGATAATGTACAGTAATCAATACTGTTGACTTGCATTGGCTCATGCTAAGTTTTAGCTGTAGAAGTAAAATCGAAACCCAAGAAACAACAAATCGAGCATCCATTTTGGCCGCTGACTTTCAACGGGACGGGCTTTGTCGAGTTCGAGAATCTGCGAATCGATGTGAGAAATCGGGTTGAGGTGAGCTCATTGTACTATTGTACTACTCATTGTACTATTGTACTACTCATTGTACTATTGTACTACTCATTGTACTATTGTACTACTCATTGTACTATTGTACTACTCATTGTACTATTGTACTACTCATTGTACTATTGTACTACTCATTGTACTATTGTACTACTCATTGTACTATTGTACTACTCATTGTACTCATTCTATCATACTATTGTACTACTCATTGTTTTTATCTACAGTGGCTTTACTTTTGGTTCCAGGTGACACTCCAAATCCGCCCACGCAGTTCCGACGGTCTCTTGTTCTATTGGGGATCGCTTAAAGTAAGAAAAGTTATTAAGAAAGTCCAGAAAGTCTTTTCTGGACAGCTCTTTCCTTTCCGTATTTTCGTTGAAAAATAACAAATTCACCACAATTAACCTATGGCTTACTCTAAATAAAAGTGTTTATTGTTTAACGGAAATACGAAAAGGAACAAAAAGACCTTCTGGAAAGCCTAATAGATGTGCCAGAAAGGAAATGTTTACACGCGAAGCTCTGTCTTTGCTAAAACAATATTTTCAGGATGGTCGCTCATCTGGAGATTTCCTAGCGTTGTACCTGGTCGCCTCACAACCGCATTTCTTCTGGAATCTCGGCTCCGGGATCGCTTATGTCAAGTGGGTATTGGCTTACGATTGTTTTTAAATTGATGTCTTTTAGAAAAGGTAATCATGTCGTTTAGAGCAACGCCGATCTCAAATCACAACTGGTCGACGATCGAGTTCGGGCGAACGGGAAGAGATGGACACATCAGTGTTGATCGCGGTTTCGCCAATAAACAGACGAGTTTGGTGGGTGATCGCTTTTCAAATCATGGCTTAGCTACCGTAATCTGGTTAGTAGATGCCACAGTAACCCAAATAGTTTCTAATATTGCTTTAAAGCGTTTCGTCGCTACTATAGATGTTACAGTAAGATGTTACAGTACAGTTTCTACTGTCGCTTTAAGCTTGTCTCTACCGTAGTCCATAGTCGATAGATGTTACAGTAGCCTACCGTAAATACTGTAATAGTGCCCCGCCCCCATAATGACGGTGCGGAGTGTTGCGTAGGCTAGCTTTGAACGCATTTTTCTCGACACTGGTTTAAGCTACAATGCGTGCTTAGGTATCAAAAAATAGCTGGAATTCAGGGCTATTTTTTGATACCTAAGCGCGCATTGTAGCATAAACCAGTGTCGAGAAACACTCGTTTAAAGCTAGACTACGCAACACTCCGCACCGTCATTATCTTTGGTATCAAAAAATAACCCTGAATTTCAGCTATTTTTTGATACCAAAGACGCATTCTTTGAAAGTATGGATGCTTTGAAAAAAATGAAATACTAAATGAAAACTTTTGCGACTACGCGACTGTACGAGGGGGCTGGGGTACTATTACAGCATTCACGGTAAGTATTCTATTGTAATCGTAAAGATTAGAGCATTTAGATTGATAAATTGAATTTAATATTAAAATATATTTAATATTAAATATTAAATTTTCACCATAAAGGCCTAGCTTGTTCAAAAAAATTATTCAACTTATCCATCATTTGAATGTTTTTTTTGTGAAAGAGATCACTCATTTTTGTCTTTTTATGTTTCTTTTCATTCATTTTGATATAATGACGACAATTTGAGTGAATGGAAATTTTCATAGCGCTCACTTCAATCCATTCATTAAATATGCACACGTTTTGTTGATCTCAATGAGTTTGAAAGCCTTCGAGAAGCCTTTAGAAAAGTTGTCAAAAGTTTTCAAGCAAGATAACGATGTTAAAGGTTTATAATTTCGTAACTTATCCAAGAATTTCACCTTTCTTTGCTTTATAAATAGAGTAGAATGACGATAATTGAGTTAATTCGGGAAAGTGAAAATAGAATTTATTATGTGAAAAGGGTAAAAGTTACCATTTTGCTTTGTCATAAATAAAAATAGCTTTTAAAAAATGATGAAATAAGCGCTTTAAAATATAATTTAGCTAACGTAATTCACGTAGAAAAGTACTCAAGTTCATAGTAGAGGTTTTAAAATTGCTTTAACGCTTAACGTTAACGTTAACGCTTTAAACGCTTATTGCTTATCTCTGAGTCGACTACTTTAGTCGAGTACAGTTATTTTACAGTTACAGTAACCCTAGGAATTTCTTTCGTTAAGCTGATTTTGATAGAAACTAGTCAGAAGATTGAGAAGACAAAGATCAAACAAAGATCAAACTCTGACTGACTCTATGCCGGGTTACGGTAGCTGGGAAATAAAGAAATTGTAAAAGATCAAGTTGAACAATAAATTTCAGCCAAAAAACACTCATCTCGACGTGTCTGGCTTTCCGCTTTTTATCGGTGGTGTCACCAATTTCGAGAAAATTCCCCCAAAACTTCGCTCACTCAATCGAACGTTTTTGGGAGAAATTCGTTTCGTTTCGATCAACGAGCAACCGATTCTCATCACAAATGTGAGTTCCACAAATTGCCCGTATTCTCTCTAATGATCAAAACTGGTAGTAGATGCAAAGCTAGATTCAAAATGCAAAGCTAGATCCAATAACTACCATATTCTCTTTAATAGTAGCGCACCCCCGTCGAGCCGAGTTGATGACTATTTTACGGCTTCCAAAGTTTTCACAGAAGCTCAACACTCAAATCCCTCACTAGATCTCATCGTCAACTACATTTTCCGACCGCACATCGATAGGTTCTGATAAACGCTTTTTGAGATTTCGAGCGATTTAGGCAAGCTTATGGACTAGTATTAGGGACTAGCTTCTTTGAGATCAGCTTCTCCTTTAGTTACCAGCTTCTTTAAGCTTTGTTGGATTTGTTACGGTAGATTTGTAGCCGAGTTGATGACTATTTTACGGTTTCCAATTTTTCCCAGAAGCTCAACACTTTAATCCCTGACAAGATCTCATCATTAGCTACATTTTCCGACCCCACATCGATAGGTTCTGATAAACGCTTTTCGAGATTTCGAGGAATTTAGGCAAAGCTTAGGGTGCACTACTATTAGAGAGAGTAAGAAAACAGGCTTTACTGGTAAAATTGGTACTGGTAAAACTGGTAAAACTGGTCGATGATCAAAATGCAAAGCTGGATCCAATAACTACCATATTCTCTCTAATAGAGTGTATATGTCTAAGTGTCTAAATAGGTTACAGATAGTTGAATATTCTAGTATTTTTAGTTATATTTTTCAGTTTTCCGTATTCCATTTTCTTTTCTGCACTAATTTGATAAACGATGAGTCCATTTTAGAGTAAATTAGAATTACAAAGTAAACTGATAGTTTTTAAAAAGAAATTACCGAATTTCTCTAATAGAATGTTTGAGAGAATATGGTATTCAATTATTCGGCAAGACTTGACAAGACAAGACTTGACAAGACTTGACAAGACAAGACTTGACAAGACAAGACTTGAGCAAGACAAGACTTGAGCAAGATAAGACTTGCGGCTTTCTTGAAAATTTTGTTCTTATTTTTAACTTGTAAAGATTAATCCACTTAATCCGCGAACTATTATCGTATCTTTATGAAAAAAAAAATGTGTTTAACGGGTTTCCATTTGTCATATCAAAATGACCAACAAAGATTTGTAAGGTTTCAAATCTAGAGAACTATGATTCATTTTATTTTATCAACTCAAGAAACAGCTTAAAAGTTGTTAAATAATTAAAGTCACTAGATTTAATGATACTTTCTTTTACAGTTAAAAGTAACATTAAAACCATTGTGTTCCTTAAACAACAACTTAAACAAGTCTTAAACAACAGTGTTCCTTAAACAACAGTGTACCTTAAACAGTGTTCCTTAAACAACAGTGTACCTTAAACAGTGTTCCTTAAACAACAATGTCCCTTAAACAACAATGTTCCTTAAACAACAGTGTTTCTTAAACAACAGTGTTTCTTAAACAACAGTGCTCCTTAAACAACAACTTAAACAAGTCTTAAACAACAGTTAAACCCAAGAGCTGAATATCTTTCTTGAATTTTCTATTAAAGCTGTAGACTGTAGACCATTGTTCTGTTCGTCTGTTCATTCAAAGAATCTTCTAGATAAATATTTTTTCTCATCTCAATAGTGCAGGTGGGATTTCTCTTTTTGACTGAAGATTCTAGGGAAACAGGTGAAATCTCATTGTTAAACTTTTTGGCTCAATGTATTGTGGAATTGTAATTACAACAACAATCATCATTTCTTTTGTTTACAAGATCAAAACTAAAAGTTATACAAAACGTACCAGCCAAGTGAGATTTGAGAGATGGGAAAGTTGTTGAAATTTTACAAAAATGTGATCAAATAAAAAACTGTACAAAGAATTCGTTTTCAAAATGGAGAAATCTCTTAGCCGAGTCGATAATAAGCATTGGCACGCACTTTGGATAACTTCTCGGCTCGTTTACCTAAAATTGAGTGATTTGAGGCTTCGAGTGATTACTTTTGAAACTTGTGCTTTGAGTGTTTGAGAAACGCACTCTACTTGGCGCACTCATTTCTCTATTAGTTTCCAGGTAAATTAGTATTGTGTTTTAGTATAAATTTGAATAAGACTGTTACCAGAATGGCTCTATTTACTAGTAACTAAGGATGGAAAGATTTTCGGGTCCAAGAGCCATTAACAGCCAGTCTAGCAACAGATCTAGGCTGACTAGAGCTATTAGAAAATGGCTAGCAAATCTAAGCTATTAGAAAATAACTTCTAACTGGATAATAGATTTGGGAGATTTTTTGCAACAGTGGTCTGTGCATTAGAAAAGATATCTCTTTAGTATAAATTTGAACAAGACTGTTACCAGAATGGTTCTACTTACGAGTAACTAACGACTACTTACTAGTAACTAACGACTACTTACTAGTAACTAAATTTATACTTGATGTCTGCCCATACAGCTATCACTCTACCTTGTTGCTCTCTGGGCATATTCATGTGAATTTGTCGCCAAACGTGTTGATAGTAATTCCTCTTTGGCATCTCGATATCGTAGACACTTTGACCATATGGAGGATCTTCTAGAAATAGGTAATTAAGTAATTAGCAGTACTAGAACTGTTTAAAGATCTAATTGTACGATCTAGATACATATAGCTTGGCTTGCATTGATCATTGATTGATCTTTCATTGATCTTTCATTGATCTTAAACCTAATGAGATCTTGAATCTTGGATCTCATTTGGTTTCCTGGTTTCCCTGGTTTTCTAAAGAGATTCAGTGCAACAAAACCTTATAAAAGGTTCTCGAATCAAAGTATTGTACTATAGTACTATAGTACTATAAGGGACTATAAAGGTACTATAAAACTGTTGTAAAGTACTGTTCGATTGCATTGATTCTTTGAAAATATTTGGATTCAGTTAGTTAGTTAACTGTTAACTAACTGTTAACAGTTAGTTAACAGTTAAAAGTCTTAACAAATGGTTGTCCCATAATGGAATCTCCTCCCACAATGGAATCTCCTCCCACACGTCATCCACCCATTAGTCTCTCATCTCAATTCTACGTGCCTTTTTCTTTCCCTTTTCTCAAAACTTTTCCTTCTTACATCGAAATTTGGCCTTTTCTTCCCAAATTGGTTTCCCATTTCTTTAACGTTTTTCTCAAAAAAAAAAGAAAACAGTTATTCATCGAAATTAGGCTCACTAAAAGTCAACGTTGGGGTTTTGAATGGGGTTTTGAAGTCGTTTTTTTTGAAATCGATTTAAAACGTCATCGTCATCACACCAAATTCCCAAAAAAATGGAATAAAGTTTAAATGAAGCATCAAAGTTGGGCTAAGCTTAAATGATTCGTATTCTCGTATTCCAAAAATGATTCGATTTCGGAATTTTTGGTGACAAGCTTCAGAGAAAACTCATTTTTCTCGCGTGAAACTTTATGTGATCCCATTATTCACGTCACTTTTTTTCCCCACAAGAAAAATGAGGTTTTAAAAGAGAAAAATAGTTTTTATAAGCTCTCTATAAGCTAGAAATTTAGTGCTGAAAAATGAAAAGTTGTTCAAAAAAAAAAAATTTTGATTGATGATTATTTTCAGAGTCAATGAAAACCCATTCCTAGTTTTGTGCTCAATTTATTTACAAATCGATGATACTATTAGAGTATTTTGAAGGTTTAGAATAGTTTTCCAAGAGATTATTGTATTATTTCGAATTTTCCTTTTTTCTACCGAATTCGAGTGATCTGACGATTGAGGTGAACGAGAAAAAGAGTGATGAGGAGGAGGACCGGAAGTCGAGATAGTCGTCCAAAAAGATACATATCTAAAGGGAAATAAGGATTAATGTTGAAGGAAATGTTACAAAAGAATAAAAAGATGCAAATCTAAAAGAAAATAAGGATTAATATTCAATGAAATGTTACAAAAGAACAAAAAAATCTCTTTAAAAAGGAAATATGTAAGTAAATGTTTGAAAGTAAATGTTTGAAAATGTTTAAATGTTAGATTGGGTATTCAGTCCAGATTACCTAGCTTACGGTATTCAGTCTAGATTGGGTATTCAGTCTAGATTACCTAGCTTACGGTATTCAGTCTAGATTGGGTATTCAGTCTAGATTACCTAGCTTACGGTATTCAGTCTAGATTGGGTATTCAGTCTAGATTACCTAGCTTACGGTATTCAGTCTAGATTAGCTATATTTCCGTATTTAGTCTAGATTACCTAGCTTACGGTATTCAGTCTAGATTGGGTATTCAGTCTAGATTGGGTATTCAGTCTAGATTGGGTATTCAGTCTAGATTGGGTATTCAGTCTAGATTAGCCATATTTCCGTATTTAGTCTAGATTAGCTAAATGTAAGTAAATAGACAAAAAGCTGAATTCGAAAAGCTTTTCAGAACAAGCTTCACTCAAATTTTTGTTTCTATTTTCAAAAAATAGCTTGAAATGAATGTTTTTAGTATAAGTGAGTAACTTGAAAATCAAAAGATCTAATGAATCAAAAGATCTAATGATCTAATGATCTAATGATCTAATGAAAATAGCTAACTCTAAGCTAACTCTAAGCTAACTCAGAATTGTAGATAGAAAATTCGAACAAAAATTTATTTGATCTTTTGCTTTGTACCAAATAATGGTTTTTCAAAAGTCTGAAAATAATGAGCTTCTTTTCAGCTGGTCAGAAAGCTGGTCTCTGTCAGAAAAACTCGTAAATTCAGCTGCTTCCGATTCAAATTGCAATTCACAAGCTGTGCCCCTAGATTTGTTGTGCAAAGAGATAGATTGTCTTTTGTTTTTTTTTGTCTCTCCGTCTATTGCACGACCAAAAAAAATGGCTAAGCTCTCAATCTTAATAAATTCTATCGAGAAATTTTTTGACACTTTTTTTGACACTTTTTTTTGGAAGCCGATTTCTCGAGTTTCGAGGAAGTGAATGCATTTTTGATTGGCTTTAAAATGGCAAAAGCAATGGAGGAAATCATAACAATTGTACTTGTGAGGGGAAAATGACGTATATTGACTGAAAAAGTTAGAATAGAAAATGGGTTATGGTAGAGATATTCAAAAAATTAAAAAAAAATAGTTGTTTGGCATAGTATAGAGTACAGTACCTTTTTGAAAGTTGTCACTATTATTGAACTAAAGCAAATCAAAGCAAAACAAAAAGCCAATGATTGGTTTGACTTTGGCTTGGCTTTTTTTGACTGGACGTGGGGATTCTGAAAGTGCTAAATTTCAAAAAAGCATAGCAAAAACCATGGAAGGATTCGAACTCAAGCCAAGAAACGTCTTAGGTCCGTAGACTGGGCCACTATCCGTTAGACCAAAACGCTAAAACGTTTCCTGGCTTCCGGCTGACCCAGGTAGAGATGATGAATTTATCCGGAGACTAAAGCTAGGCATGGTTAGGCCAGATCAATTGACAGGACAGGATCTTGGCCTATCCTGACTTCTGGCTGATCCGGATTTTTGACGAAATCGGGGAGCAAAGCCTAGGCCAATGTCTAGCCAAAGCCTAGGCCAATCTAGGCTTTTGACCTAACTCAGAAAATAGATTGTAGAATTAAAAAGTCTTTTCTTTGTGGAAATTGACAACTTTAACGTAGGAGCTTCTTTTATTTTGCGCAATTAATCAAGAGAAACATGGGAGGAAGCGAGGAAGTAAGCGGATAAGTAAGCCCAGTACCCCAGAGACTAACGAAAGGCCGTTCCTTTGCCAAAGTTGATTGAAAAGTAGCTAAATTCTCATTGTCTGAATATGTTGAGCTTAAATAATCATACAGATCTCAAGATATTCAGCCAACCGGCTATCTTGAAATGAGAAAAGCAAAATTCGGTTTAGATCAACAATTCCTTTGGCTTTATACTCGAGAAAAATAGAACACATGAAAATAGATCGATCAAATTATGAAAGGTAATTAAAGAAAAGGTTAGGCTTTTCTAAATATGTAAAATGAGTGTTTTGTTTGGTGGGAATGTGGAGTTCTGAATGGGCGAGGGGGCGTGAGAAGTCTCTTTCATTTCATTTCTCTTCAAATCCCATCCAGAAAGACCCACCCCTTTACTCATTTACTCAAAAAAAGGCAAACTTATGGCCAAGCTGAAATAAAACTTGATAACTGTTATATACGTATATTATTTACGTATGTTTGACTGCTGTAATGGTATAGGATTGGTATTTCAGATATGATTGTAGCAATTTATCTAACAAAATAGAAATCAATATCATAAAGGAAGAAGAAAAATAGAAACAATTGAAAATGAGAAACCCTGAGACTGACAACTACGCGTCGCTCCAATTGACGCGTACAAAAGGCAAAAAGAAGTGCAAAATAGAAAACACTTTGTGAGAATCTCTTCCCAACAATAACTTTAATGGTTCATTCTTACCAGACTCCACTAGTAGCCAGTCACAGCTGGAACAAGAGCTGTGACTGGCTGTGACTACAGAAATAGCTTGATCACTGGTCATTCTAAAAAATAAAAAGAGCTGTGACTGGCTGAGATGGGGCTTGTGACAAATTAGAGCTATTTATGCAAAATGTTAGTATTACGGACTAACGGAAAGATTCAAATTATGCTCATAGTCAGACTCAGATTCCGTTATCTGGGTATCTGGGCCTGGGTTCTCTGACACTTTTTATGAGTCAGATCAAGCAGGTTCATGGCAAAAGTCAAATCACGACCATCGTCTGGCATCATTGGTTACAGAAATAGCTTGATCACTGGTCATTCTAAAAATAAAATGCATCTATGAGCTTTAAAAAGTCATTCTTGAAATCAGGCTTTAAAAATTTACTGGCAAGCATTTTCCGAGAGAACATTTAAGGGTCGCGCACTAAAATGCACTAAATACCGTAATCCGCCAAAAATCATTTTCGAATCACAAAAAAAACAAACAAATCAAAAATCACAAAAATCATTCCGCTTTTTTGTGCAAAATCGTTTTTTTTTTGCAACTTTAGCTAATTTTATTTTATTTTTTTATTCTATTAATTCTATTGATAAATAAAGTTGAAATCTATAGTGAAACTTGCTTTAAAAACAATGTAGAAAGCAAAGCTACGAGTAGAAATCGCGCAAAAGTAAGAAAAAAATAGCTAAAGTTGTAAAAAAAATGATTTTTGGCGGTTTACGGTATTTAGTGCATTTTATTGCGCGACCCCTAAATGTTTTCTCGGAAAATGCTTGCCATTTTAAATTGCCATTTGCTTGCCAGTAAATTTTTAAAACCTGATTTCAAGAATGACCTTCCTAAAGCTCATAGATGCATTTTATTTTTATAATTTTTGCTATTTGCCGAACTTTTGAAGAATGGTGACTAATCGGTATCATCATTTTTTTTTGCTTTTAGGGTTTCCGTTCCTAAAGCCATAAAGTTAATATAAAAAAAGAGAGCAAAATGGACTTTACTCTTGAGATTTGTAACAGCTACTACAAAAATAAATAGATTTGCGGGGAAGTTCTTTTAGTGGGGAGAAATGGGATGAAACGTACTAAAATGAGATCAAATTTGATTATCGTGGGTGGATGGGTGGGAAGTTTTAATTGGTGGAGGAAAAAAAGAACAAAAAGAGAGAACAATACTATACACTTCATGAGAATTGAATAATGATGGGGGGGGAGAGTTGAAAGTATTGGGTTGGTGAATTGAATTTCTGTCGCAAATTTTAAATATTCATTTTACCTTATTGCTAAATGTTAATTTTGGCGCGACGTCGCATTCCAATTGACGTCGCCGCCATTTGGAGGTAGTCGATAAGAGTGCCGCGTCGTCGTTTCTTTTCATTTCAAATTTCTTTTCATTCTTTTCAAATTTTCATTTCATTTGTTTTTTTGTCAGATTAATTGAAATTATTGTTTTACGCGATAAATTTTGTGTTTCTCTTTGAAATGAGAAAGAAATCTATTGGGTTGGTGAATTGAAAACTGCCGGACTTTGAACTAAAATTTATTCAACATAAAACCATGAATTGATTCCAAATAATTTCCATTATTATTGACGACTTCTGCCCCATTTTACAGGCAATTTGCGGATTCCTCTTTCGTAGTAAGGTTTTGGTTTGTGTGTGAGATGTCAATGTCAGACTATAAACCCTTGTAGAATCGCGTAGAATAGATATTTTTTTAAAAACTTTTTGACCAATAAAACCAGCCAACTTTAGGCTTTTGAATGACACTAAAATCAAGAAAATCCATCATCTCTACTCTGAGAACAAGCTATTTATAGCCGTTTGTAGTCTCGTCCCATGGAACGGGACTACAAACCTGGAAAAAAAAACGTTAAATCTCAGCACAGAGAACTTGATTTGGCCTGATTTTGGCGTCATTCGAAAGCCTAAATTTGACTCGATTTTTTGGGTAAAAAAGCTTTGAAAAATCTCTATTTGACGTGTTTCTACAAGGGTTTATAGCGCTCATGTCTAGGTTGAATCGAGGCATTGTTTGTTCTCTGCCCAATAGTGTACTCTGGCTTTACATACTGTACCTAGCACATTATCTAACCTCAAGTATCGTAGCCTAGAGTGCTGTAGTCATAAAACCTAGAATACTGTATACCTATTGTATTCTAAAGGTTCGTAAGCCTCTCATAGCTTAGAGTATCGCACGTACTCAAGGCTACGATAACCGTAGTCTTGATGAAGCCTAGAACCTCTCAAAGTGTACCTCACAAAAACTCTCGTAATCTTGTTTCTAGTTTTTGTCGAATCTTCACAAGTTGAACTTCTGCAAAAAAAAAAAGAGATTTCAAAAGTGACGACTAATCTTTAGAAAAGATCTCTAATCGAAAAGTCACAAATAATCTAAAAATGATCGAATAAGAGGAATAAGTCGTCAATTTTTTCAGGAATTTACAAATTTGCATTAAAATTTTACCTATTTGATCTCGGGAAAACGTCATTAAACTTCCCGTATCGAAAATAAACCACCTTTAAAAACGGATTTGTTTATCAATTTTGGATTAGAATTAGAAAGATTGCATTTCTAATTTTTGGTTTTTCTAATTTGCAAAAAGTGGGATCGAAATCTGAAAATGACAGTTGGTTTCATTTCTTGAAATGTTCATTTATTCGTTGGAGGTGGAGAGACAAAGAGATTGGTGACGTAAACAGAAAAAGGAGACACCTCCAAAAATGGCATTCGTGCATAGGCTAGTGGATGGGGTGGTGGAAAAGGGGAAAAAAAGTGGGGGTTTTGGAGGAAATGTCGTGTGTTTTTGAAAAGCCAAACATGATAAAAAGTTAGGGCTCTATATGTGCGCTGATTGTTCTATTCAGCAGAATCAAATTAGGATAGGATTATGGTAGGAATTGCCGTCAGGGATACCGCAGCCCAGTGCAGGTTAGGCCAGAACCAGGAAAAAAGGCAAGGATTGAACCTGGATCTGGATCTGGATCTGGACCTAGACCTGGATCTGGATCTGGATCTGGATCTGGATCTGGATCTGGATCTGGATCTGGATCTGGACCTAGACCTGGATCTGGATCTGGATCTGGACCTAGACCTGGATCTGGATCTGGATCTGAATCTGGACTTCTTTCTAGCCCTGGTCTGGCTTAATCTAGATATTGTCTTAGAATAACCCAGATTGGCGCAAGTCAGGTGTAATAGAGCTTTTTCCTTCTGTGCATAGGTTGAAGTGTTTTTGAAGACTATTATATTAAAGTTGATACGATGTGATCATTTTCTAAGTCTTGTTTAATGACTTTCCATTTCAGAAAGATCACTGGCACGGCGGAGTGGGACGAGTTGAAGAGGAAGAGATTGGCTGTAAAGGCGTCGATTGTGGATATGGGAGATGTCTTCAAACAACACAATTATCTCAACCATTCTGTGTTTGCCCACAGGGGAAGACTGGAGACAAATGTGCACAAGGTGGGTCCAATTTGGAATGAAATATGGTGTAGACACGGGAAAATAAATTCCAATCTGAACCCAATTCCACCCTCGTTTTCTTGGCCGATTGCTCTGAAATTTTGTCTACAGATAGAAATCGATGTTTTCAGCTTGTAGACAAAATTTTCTAGCAATTGGCCAAGAGATGGTTGAGAAAACGAAGATGGAATTAGGTTCGGATTGGAATTTTTTTTCATGTCTAGTATGGTTTAGTATCGTAGAAGAGTGTGTTCCACTTAAATAAAGCGTTTTCAAACTTTTTCAAATCACCACCCCAATTTTGAAACATTGAGCTGGTAAAGGTCGGCTTACTTCAAAGCTGCGCTCTGAAAGAGTTCTAAAATCGTTGCCAATTTGCCAAAAATTGCCAATTTTTGAATAGTTACAGTAATTTTTACCAGATGCTTTTGTTTAAAGATTGATGTATTTAAGAGAAAAGCTAAAATAAGCGATCCACCTACGTACACACCAGATTTTCTCCTTTTTACTCATAGTCTATTTGTCGTGACGAAGTGTGGGAGTTTTCTGTGTTTCCAAAAACACCAAAGACAAGCACTCTTCATTTTTTTAAGCAAGTGCACATTTAAAATTTCTTTTCTTACATGACTTTCAGAGAGAAATCTTGAAATAGAAATTTTCAAGAGAAAAAAAAGGTAAAGGAAATTTTAGATTTAACGAAAGTTGCGCTGAAAATCGGGAAATCAATGGGAACTGGGGTGTATTTAAATCGAGTTTACACAAGGTAAGGAAATAGAAACATTTTATTTGATAGATCATTATTTTGTTAGTTTTCTCATTTGATCATTTGATCATTTGATAATGATCGCCAAATTTGCTTAATAAGCGATATGATATGAAAATGTCTACCCTGAAGCCAAAAAACAAGTGCTCTTTTAGTGTTGAAAGCTCGACCAATGCCAACTTCTCATTGGATTTCCGAACGAAAGAACAAGAAGGAGTACTTTGGTGGGAAGGTGAGTGAAAACGGCTCGTACTTTGTGCTCTAACAAACGCACGCTTCTGGCATAGACCTTAGGTTCAGAACATTCAGAAATGTCAGCTGTTCATTTTTAATACTTGAAATGAAGTAAACTTTCAATATTGTAACGTCTCACGAAAACTTTCGAAGATTTGTTTCAGGCGCTTGGACAGGCGACTCGTCAAGCCGGGATTTCTTAGTGATTTTCGTGAAAAACGGGCAAATTCACGTTGGAATTGATCTGGGGAAAGATTCGCCGAGTTCTGCGTCGAAATTCAAAGCCGTACAAGTGAAGGGGAAAAGAGTGGATAATGGGGAATGGCATGCGATTCAGATGAAGAGGTAAAGCTAAAATTGATCTCGATTTATCTAAAATTGACAAGTTCAGAATGAAAACCCGTTTGTTGGTGGAAGTCGATGGGGTGGCGAAGATACAAATAGTGACCACTGAGGGCAGTCAAGAGTTGGACACGAATGGATTCGTGTATTTGGGTGAGTGGGCAAATTGGGCTAACAAAAGTTTCTGACGGTTTGAAATCAAAGCGGATTACGGTAGCTTTAGAAAGCTAACAGGCTTGTAAGGCTATCTGATTAGAGTTAGATTTTGATAAAACTAGGAAAGATTACGGTAGCTTTAGAAAATTAACATGTATGACTTTGAATTCACGGTAAAAGAATACTAAAAGTTCCGAAAAAGATTGAGAGTTAAGGCTCTGATAGCTTTAAAAGTACAGTAATCCTTTACTATAGTAAACTTGCTTTTTACTAAAGATAAAAGAATACTGTAAGCATGGAAAAAGATAAAATAACTCTAAATCTAGGCGGAAAAGCGGATCTCCCCACCATTTTGCCTATTC